CGCTCCGCAGCCCGGCCTGGGCCTTCAACGCGGCCGTGGCCATGGCCGTGCTGGTAGCCGCGGGCCTCTTGGTCTCCGGCGTCTACATCTTCTTCCTCATCCCACGCGCCGCTGCGCCCGCCGCCGCGCGCCCCCAGCTGGTGGCGCTCGCACCGGCGCCTGGCTTCTCGCTGTTCGCGCCGGCCACGCCCACCCGGACGCTGGAGCCCGACGCCACCGCGCGGGGGATCGCGCGGGAGGCGCCCGCGCCGGAGCCTGCAGGGGGCGCCGCGGACCCGACGGAGCCGGGCACTGGGCTGGACTGGGGCTTGGATCCCACGTTGGGGGAGACCAGCGGGGAGAGCAGCGCTGGCTGGTCTCCGCGGGCACGAGGCGGAAGGAGGGCGTGGGGCAGGCGGTGAGCACACCCCGACGCCAGGCGCACCCTCAGCTCTGGCTGTGCTGGGAGCCAGCCCCGCACACAGCTGCTTCCAGCATGCCCACCGTGTCTCTCTCTCACACACGCAGAAGGATGCTCAGAGACTATGCATCCCCTAGGGATCCTGTTGGGAGGCACCCTGACCCTGATTCCCGTGGGCACCCAGTTGGAGGAGAGCCCCTGACCCCAATTCCCGTAGGGGTCCTGCTGCTATTACCCACAGCCATGACGTCTTACCTGGTCCACCACAATGTAGCCCCTCCACCTTCCAGGAACTGCTATAACCCCAACCTCCATCCCTAACTGCACCCCGGGTTGAGCCTGGTAGGCTCTAGTCATCTCCATGCTGATCCTGGGTGGGGCTGGGGCTCAGAGGGCAGGGGTGGCCTGACGGGGCTGGGGACAGCTAGACAGGGCAGGACTCTCAACCCCAGTCCTGAGTCCCAACCCAGCATTTACCTCACAGACTGTGGCTTCTGGGATCCCCCAGCATGCTTTCAGGCAGCTGTGGTCACCAGGGCTCAGAGTGGCCTGGTCACCCCTGGACCAGACAGTGGTATACGGGCGGTGGGGTGTACCTCCTGGACCTTCCCAGCCTGCCCCTCTGCCTCTGCCTGCCCCAGAGCTCCTGTCACCTCCATCTCTACTTATGTCTCATGGACAGCCCCTGCTTTTCCTCCCCCTACAGGAGTCTCTCAGTGCCACCCCCTCCCCAAGCTGCCCTCCCAGCTCAAGCTTGAGTCCTAACTGTGGACAGCAGCCTTCAGGGAGGATAGCTCCTGTCCCCATCCTTCCCACAGCCTTCCTGGGTTAGTTACAGTGGAGTGGACAGCCGCTGCCCCCTGCACTGGGCCTCTGCTTTCCCCTGAGTACTGAAGCCCCATTCTGACTCACCTCATCAAGGATTGGGGTGTTGGGAGTGGGCACTCCAGAAAGAAATTCTGTGAGGCTGGAGACTCTTGTCTGATTTCTTTACACTTGCGTCCTCAGTGCAGCATACAGTGGGCGCATCACAGGTGACGGCATCACAGGTGACTGCAAGGCAGCCTGGGAATTCCTGTGGGCACTCGAGGCTCACCCCGCTCCCAGCTGCCCAAGTCCCAGGCATGTCTGTGCAGTTAGTCTACTGTGAGTTGCTGCTAAAAAAGTGGCAAGCCAGAGGAAGAACACCAGGGTGTCTGAGGGAGTGTCTTCCCAGACCAGTTCTTGGCCCACACCCGGTTGCCAATGTCACCCACAGGGACTGGGACCAGCGTGCTGGGTCACTGGGCAGCCACAGCCCAGCGTAACAGGGAGGAGGGCCTGCTAGGGCACAAGCCCCTTTGAGTTTCCTCCAGCTGCTGTAGCAAGCTACCCCAAACTGAAGAACACAGACCCACAACAGTTGCTGTTGATTCCAGCGTGTGGATACCCATATGTGTCATAGTAGAACTGTGCTCTGTAGAGTTTTTAACGGCTGTGACCTTTGGAGGAAGCCCTGGTGGCACAGTGGTTAAATTGCTTGGCTGCTAACCAAAAGGTCAGTTGTTCGACTCCTGGAGGTGCTCTGCAGGAGGAAGACATGGCAATCTGCTTCTGTGAGTATCTGCAGCCTTGGACACCCTACCGGACAGTTCTGCTCTGTGCTGTAGGGTCACTATGAATTGGAATCAGCTCCATGGCAGTGGGTTGGCTGGTTGGTTGGACTTTGTAGAAGTAGATCGCAGGCCTTCCTTCTGAGGTGCACTTGGGTGAATTAGAACTGCCGACTGAAAAGTTAGTTTCCAAGTGCTTAACCATTTGTGCCCTAAGAACTTCAACTTAGAGTGGCTTAAAACAACATGAATCCATGAATGCATTCTCTTCTGGTTCTGGAGGCTAGGAGTCTGGAACCCTCCCTCTGGAGGTTCCAGGGGAGAACCCATTCCTTGGGTTTTCCAGGTTCTAGAGTTGCATTTCTTGGCTCTTGGCCCCTTTCTCCATCTTTAAAGCCAGCAGGATGACATCTTTAAATCTCTCTGATTCTCCTGCTTTCATGTAAGGGCCCTTGTGGTAGCATTTAGGCCCTACCCACCTCGATAACCCAGCAAATGTCCCCATCTCAGGGTCTTTAACTTAATCACATGTACAAACCCCATCTTGTCACGTAAGGTAACATAATCATAGGCTCCAGGGATTAAAACCAGAAAGATCAAACCCACTGCCATGGAGTCAGATTCGACTCATAGCGACCCCTCCTTGGGTTTCCAAGGAGCTATCACTACAGAAGTAGATTGTCCAGTCTTCCTTCCGAGGAGTGGCTGGTGGTTCAAACACACCAGCCTTCTGGTTAGCAGTCACATGCATCTTGGTGGTGGTGGAGTGTGCTGTGGCATCCATGCCTACCCACAGCACCCCTATAGGACAGGGTGGAGCTTCCTCATAGGGCTTCTAAGTCTATAACCCTTATGGGTGCAGTCGCCAGGCCTTTTCTCCTATGGAACCACTGGTGGGTTGGCTAGCAGTGGAGTTCTTAACCATTGCGCCACCATGGCTCTTTTGGATATCTTTAGGGGTCATCATTTAGCTTACCACAGGGTCCCTGGGGGCTCCCTTCCTAATCACTCACCTCTTCCAACCCAGGCTGGGTGGGTGGCTGTGGGGCTGGCCCAGATAGGCTGAGCCAGGAGGCTCAGAAAGGGGCTGCTGGCCATCAGTGCACAGAGGAGGGAGACAGGATGCTGCCTGCCTGGGGGTGGTCAAGGGAGACTGCCTGGAGGAGAGCCCCTCAGAACTATATCCTCAAGCACACTCAGGAGAAGTGACAGCTGATGTTGAGGTGGGAGGCATGGTCTGCACAACAGGGGCAGCCAGACAGTGGCTCAGGGCAGGGGACAGGACTGGTTCCCTCCTGAAAGCAGCTACTGGGGTGCGTGGGAACCCACGGCCTCAGGCTCGTCTCCTGTAAAACGAGGCTGATGACAGAGCTCACGGGTCTCTGAGAGTCCCTGTCTGCCAATTACTACCTCAGTGTCTGCCCACCCACGGCAAGTGACAGCAAGGCTGCCCTGAAGCCACCCGGGGCAGGACCTTGGTGGACACTCCCCACCCTTGTCCACCAGCCTGTGACCACACTGTCCCCATCTACCCCTCCTCAGGTCCCCAGAGTTGGGCCCTCTCAGCCCTCCCTGTGCCCATCCCCAGGTCCCACTGGACACTGCTCACAGACCCTGGCTTGGGCACCTCTGCCCAAGGCTGGCTTCTTTTCCCAGGGCTCCGTGAATGACCCCTGGGGAGGCTGGCACGGTTTTGGGGCACCAGTGTCTACTAGAGGCCTGCTCGCACCAGCCAGATCTTGTTTCCTCTTCTGGGACACGGGCGGCAAGAAACCCTCCGCTTGCAGGAAGAATCTGCTCATCCACAAAGGCTCACTGAGCACTTGCCCCATACCAGGCATACTGGCAGCACCCAGGGAACAAGGGGCGCTCACGTGGGAGATGACGCCCAGAGGGCTCAGAGCGGGGCCCCTGTTCCTTCTGACCGCACCGCCTCCTGCCTCCTCACCCGTGCAACCCCCAACTCCCTAAGCCTTCCCCAGGTTCTGCCCTCCAGGAGTGATGCCAGGGGCTCCATTTTACGGGGATTCACCACTTCCCACGAAAGTCTAGGAGGCCCCTGTCCACGCCAGGTCCGTTCCCCGCTATAGGGGACTGGGCCAAGGGACCAGTGGTCCAGGATGGGGACAACTTCCAGGACCCTGGGCGCAGCAGTGTCCAAACTGACAGATGGAGAAACTGAGGCCGAAGGGCAGGGCAGGACGCGGATTCGAACCCCCCAAAAAACCCCTTCTCCCATCAGGCCAAAGCCCTGGCCGGGCAGCCTCGTTGTGCCCTACGTCCCTGGCCCCGCAGCCACAGCTCCCTTTGCGGCCTCAGTTCTGTCGCGATCTTCCACAGCACGGGAAAGAGCGTCAGGAAACGCAGACCAATGACAGATCGCCCTGTCGGCTGGGGGCGGTGCCGAAGTTGCTATAGCAACCAGGTCCAACACACCCTCCAGGCCGCTAGTGCACAGCGTTCCACCAGGAGAGCGCGCTGGAGCGCGTAGCCAATCAAGACCCGAGACCGCCATTGCTATGGCAACCAACGGCCAAACGGACCCGACTGCTCTAGCGTCCCGGAAGTGTTACTGCGGGCTGGCGACAGTGTGGAAGGAAGACTATGACACAGGATAGAGGCGAGAGAACCAAAGCTGCGGTGTTCGGGAGAAGAGAGAAAGGAACAGCGAAAAGACCCAGCTACCTTAAATGCTTTAAAGGGTTAGACAAAAAGAATGCCGTAAGTATCGGACTTCAGCTGTTCGCCAAGTGCCATGCACAGCGCAAACAGGTCCCGGCCCTCGCCGGTCTTAAGTTATAGAGGGCTCGATGGACATGGAATAAATTATATGTTAACACACACTCATATTGTCATGAATAAATTTTAGTTCAGATAACTTTTAATACAGTGTCAGATAAATTTTAATACAGTATATGGTTATGCGGGAGCTCTGGTAGCATAGTGCCTAAGGCACTTGACTGCTAACCAGAAGGCTGGCGGTCCAAACCCACCAGCCACTCCTCGGAAGGAAGATGGAGCAATCTACTTCCGTAGAGATACGGCCTCGGGAACCCAAGGGGTCGCTGTGAATCAGGTCTGACTCGATGGCACATAACAACAATAACAACATATGGTTATGCATATATTTTAGCAGATTTTAACAGATTATACTTATGCATAAATGTTATGGCAGTCAAATTTTAACACAGGTTATATAGTTAAGAGTGGAGTTAGGTGTTACAAAGGAAGAGACCCAAGTGTGTGCCAGACATGTGGGGTGGGAGGAACAAGATCCTTGGGTCAGGCCTCTTGGGACAAAGTAGGTCATTGTCACCCTGTAGTGAGCTCAGATAAGTTCTCTCTAACCTAACCTCTCCACAGACCTGACAAGCCTGGAACTGGAGGATCCACTTCCAAGATGGCCCAC